AACACTTAATGGGCCACAGTTATAACACTTAAAGGGCCACAGTTATAACACTTAAAGGGCCACAGTTACAACACTTAATAGGCCACAGTTATAACACTTAAAGGGCCACAGTTATAACACTTAAAAAAACCACAGTCGATGCTAAAAGGCCCGGTGAGATGCTAAGCTAAAAGGCCCAGGCAGTTTGCCTCAGGAGTTGTAGCCCAGCCCACCTCTTCCAGACGGGTCTTAGTGACACTGATCCAGGATTTGATAGTAATGACAGAGTCAGGATGGCAGGCTGATAGGATCTCCTCCCCAAGGGCACGGATGCTATCGAGCTCCATCTCCTGGCACTGCAGTGAGTTCATCGACTCCTGTATAGACAGAGGGAAAGATAAGTTCCTCCAGCATTGACATACAATCGAAAGGTCGCAAGTTCCATCCCTGTACTATTTTATTATATACTGAATTATTGAAGTAGGTCGTTCAGCGTGTTAATGGATTGAGGCATATACCTGTATTTAAGACACTATGGACAAAGGCATTTGCTAGGTACAGTGATATTCTTTTGGGGCTTGTGACTGCAGCCTCACTCCCGCACCTGGTGCTGCTTGTGGAACACCAGCAGGGCCTCCTCTTCCTCCGGGATGGGCCCGTACTTCAAAGTCCTCTCCACGTCGGAGAGACGCTCCAGAAAGGAGTGCACCAAGCGGTCAAACTCCTCTGCCTGTGAAGGATTTTTGTATCATAAAGAGCACAGATGCCCCCCCTACCCTCCCGATACTATCATCCCTTCTGCCGGAATCCTCGGCCCAAGGCCCACCTGTCGGAGGGCGTCCTCCAACCTTGCCTGCTTGGATACGGACAGCTTGCAAATTGTCTCCCAACGCCCATCAAGCTCTTCCATTTGCTCGAGTAGCCAACGGCTGTCTGCCATGCTGCTTTTAGTCAGGTCCCTCACAGAACGCTTCAAAGTCTTAATACAACCTGCTCTCTTGCCCAGCTCCTTCTGAAACACCTGTATTACCACGGGAATGGGTTTAACTACCTGAGCACATGAGGAGGACCAATTAGCTTCTGCTAATTAATTTCTCGTACTGCCACAAAAACCTCCACAAAATAATCAGATAAGATGTACCTTATGCTTGTCTATAAGATTGTTGACCAAGTCCTTTTCTCCTCCAACAGGCATGTCCTCGGCCAGCTGCGGCTCAGCCCTAAACAACCAGTCCATCAGCGCCTGAAGGGCGTCTGTGAATCTGCCTGAAAACAATAGTGCTTCTTCCAGCTTGTGTTGCCTGAAGGTAAAAAAAAAATATATCTATCAGTATATTAATATATATATATATTGGTGTGTATATATATAACTCTCTCCACTAAGACCTTCAAGTTGACCTCACCTCTCCATGGACTTTCCATTGATGGTATCCCATGAGTCTCGGAGCTCAGACACAAGGTCCGCCAGCTGCTGTCTGTCCTCAGGGCTTTGGGATTTCTCAAGCAGAGCCCGTCCCCTCTTCAGGGTGGCCTCATACATGGGCCTCTTAAGCCTTAGAAGCTTCTGGAATTCCTGGGTACATGCATAGACATGAGGAATTTAAGCCTGGGCTAGAATGTGCCTAGAATTATTTTCTGATATATTCTACATTTGTTTTTGGTGTGGACACATAATTTAGTTTTATAGATTAAAAAATTTAGGAATTATTTTGATAAAATGTATGTGTAGATGATGACGCCTCATAAGTCTTGGGTCTCAGATGCCAGTAGACTGTATCTTCTCTAATGTCCAGATTTAAATGAACATCATTGTTTGCTCAAAGCTGTCGCATTTCATGACCAGCAGACAGCAGACAGATGTTATGAATCAGAAGGTTTTCAGTCCACTGGCCCAGGCTGAGTGGCCAACCTTCTGCTCTGTCAGCTGCTGCTTTATCTCTTCATGGGACACGGCAATCTCTTTATGTGTGTCCAGTGTCTGCTCCACTTCCACCATCCAGTCCACCAGGAGGCGCCATGACTCGTTGAACTGCAATTGACACAATGATTAATTGAGGGATTCACTACAGCAGCTCTTCATGAGTATGATCCACAGGGATGGAGAACGGGCTGTTAGAAACACTACCTGCTTGGCCTGCTTCTTGACCTCCTCCAGCGAGGCGGCCCTCTCACCCACACGCTGCTGGAGCTTCTCATAGCGGGTCTGCACAGTCATCACCAAGTTCTGCACCACGTTACCCTCCTCCTTCCTGCTGAGCTCCTTCAGCCGTAATGCTGCGCTCTCCACTGTGGCTTTCTTCTCGCTGTAGGCCTGCACCTCACTCACCAACGTCTAACCCAGCACACACAAACAGACATGTTTGTATTCATATCTTTGTTGGGACTTTTTTTTATGGGAAAACCCATAATCCCAAACACTTCCCTAATGTAGGCTAATAGCCCACATACCCTAACCTGTCATCTGACCTGCACTTACTGAGCCACTTCCTGGTTTGGATACCCATCTCCAAAGGGGCAGGACCTGACTCACCCTGTGGTCCTGCAGCTGAGCACAGACTGTGTCCAGGAGGAAGCTGGGTGTCTGCAGAGCACTGATGGCCTCCTCACATTGCGCCATCTTGGTCAGCAAGTCCTGGACGGTGCTATGAAACTCCTTTGCCAGACTCAGTCCTTCAGTCAACTTAGCCTGGTCAGAGAGACCGCAGGTCAGTGGTGCATAGGCTGTTTAAGCTTCTCTTAAACTGGTTACGACTCAAACCTCTCACAAAAGAGATGTCTACTGCACTCTCCAGAAGTCTTAGGCAGTGAAAAGAAAGGTTTAAAGCTCTTTATCTGGGTTGTAAGTGTGCATCGGTGCTCAGAACAAAAAACACAATTTAACATAGGCAAATTAAGAGTAATACAATAAAAACTAGTCAACATTTCTTCAATTCTCCAAAAACTTACTAAAATCATGTTGGATGGCTAGATGAACACCATTTCAATTCCAAACCTCTCTTCAGGGACACCCCAGCCATTCCAAGTATTTATTAAATTTCACCACCAGCTCACATAATTAATTAGCTTAATTATTATAAAAAAAAAAGTCAATGTGATATTGATTAACTATGCGAGATGCGCTAGTGGTCCAGTCAAAAAATACATGGGTGTATCGGATTGGTGGCTGGTTATAGTGGGGTGATTATAGCAGAGGGTTTTACCGTGCCAGCTCAGTCACAACCCTATATGAAGTATAAGTTTAAATTAGCGCTATGATCAAGTGTGCAGTGCACTTTGCAGTTTACACCAATCAATCCCTATTGCACAAATCTGATTGCATGTGCCAGTGAATTTTAAATTCCCTGTCCCTTGTTTGCCCTGATTCCCTGTACGTATTTAAGTACCTGTGTCTGCTTTGCTCTCTAGTCAGTCATTGTATTCATGTTGCTGTGTGTTTGATACCCTGCTTTATAATCCTGCCCCCTGTGCTGCCCTGTTCCCTTTTTATAGTACTTTAGGATTCTTGTAGTTAGTTCGCTTTTTGAACCTTTGGTGTTCGTGTTTGTTTAATAAACCCCTTTGTCTTAGATTCAAGGTGTGACCCAGCAGCACTGCCCACTGACCTTCCATGGTGTCTTATGATATTTCTCTAAAATATTTTCCAACAGACCCACTACTCTGCACTGGATGATTAATGGATTGTCCAATGCACTGGATGATTAATGGATTGTCCAATGCACTGGATGATTAATGGATTGTCCAATGCACTGGATGATTAATGGATTGGCCAATGCACTGGATGGT